CTGCTATCAGATGGAATCATAGTCCAGCATCAATCATTGTCTTCAGGAGAGGAAAGGAAATTGAAAAGAAAGAAAAAAAATCTTGACTGTAATATAATATAATTCTCCTGAATGAGATCAGTCAAGTTCAGCCAAGTGCCATTTCATTACTATCATCTGATTTATACCCAAAGCAAAGAGCAGAGGTTTTCGATCTGGCCAGTTACACTGTAATAAGAAATCTATTGTAACGGCTCAGAGTCTGTATATGAAACTGCTTTGTGTTCATTTGTTATTCCCATTGTACATTGAGTGGTGTTATACACCCGGTGGCATTTCTGAATCCAGGTACATCCACAACAAATTGCATTTATAAAGCGCCTTACATGTCGGGAGGACGTCCCAAGATGCTGGACAGTCGAGGATTTGCATCTGAGCCAGGGTTTAGGTTCGGGAGGGATTGGGGGACTTTGAGCAGTTTTGATGAATCATTCAGTTAAATCCATAACCCCTCCTTCCCCAGAGTAGTGAAATACGTACTACTCCACATCTAAGCAACTCCAGACCAAACCATTGTGGCAACTATGGGGGTGGGGGTGAGGGGGGAGAGGTATTGTGAGAAGAAGAGTTCACACCAGCAGCTTTAGGTCATTCACATTGTGGCTGTTGTGGACCTTCGCTCTGCGCAAGTTGAGTGCTGTGTTTCCCCTATAAAACACACAGTCACTACACTACACAGTCACTACTGCCTTCCAGGCAGGTCAGGGCGAAACCTTGGGCAAGTTTCCTTACTCCACACGCCTAATAATAATCCCTCCAAAAACCAAAAATAATAATAAATTGGTCATTTTCAATCTACGACTGTTTGTGGGACATTGCTGTGCGCAATTGGCTGCCGCGTTCGCCCACAAATATACAGTCAATTCACTTTACAGTGTGTTCTGTGAAGCGCTTTGGGACGTCCTCCCGACGTGAAAAGCGCTATATCAAATGCAAGGATTATTATTATTATATTATTATTAAATCCTGTGGAACCCTTTGAGACTTCCTGATGTGGAAGTCACTGTATCAAAGTATAAAATTATTAATAATAGTAATACCCGAAAACTACTGCACTCAGGTCTTTGGTATCCGGTGAAATACTAAGGTCGATTCCTCCCAATATCTGGAAGTGTGATGTCCTGTTATTGCGGCTTTGTACCGAAGTCGCTAATCAGTTGCAAAACATTTTCTCACGCACTCTCCCTGGAGAGCCCATGCTGAGAATAATGAGAAACTGGATCTGACCAAAGGATAAGCTCCTTTGCTGCAGTAATTGGCTTGTTGCTTTGCTACAGTGAGATCCGGCCTCTTTTCCTTTCATTCAGAATGACAACTCCCAAGTTGGATTTCTGAATGGAATAATATCTCAGACGCACCCGAACCAAAACTTGATACCATTTCATTCAAAGCGAGCGAAGATTAGCCTCGCTGTTCTCACTAACCCAGAAACTCCCGTGGAGGTAAGTGGACGGCCTGGCTCTCTGGCTCTACCTCTGAATCCTTGCGCTTTTATTTCCTCTGTTGATCTGCATTTTGTCGCTTGTGGTGTGGGGGTACTTGTTTATCTTGTTTTGATGTTTAAAAAAAAGTCATGTATATAAATAGTAATGTATTCTAATAATAATAATAATCATTGCCTTTGATACAGTGTTTTATCATGTTGCTGCTGTTATGGGCATAGATGCTGGGAAGGGTGGTGGAAGCCAGGATAATGGACTTGTTTAAGAGACTGTTTATCACTGTTATGGAAAGCTAAAGCCATTGGAAGGATGATTAAGTGGGTTGAAGATCCTCCTTCGCCTGAGTTCCACTTGTGATCTGTTGAGCTTTCACCCTTTTCAGCTGCTGCTTAGACACAATGTGGGAACGGGTGTTTGGTGCCCAATATCTCCTCGTTCCTTCATGAAAATCCCCTTCCACTACCATCTGGTGGGAGGAGTGGCAGTCAAGAGGGTGGGGGAGGATAGAGGGAGGATAGGCCGTAGGGAGTGGGGCAAGTAGAGTTAGTCAAGGGGGTGGTGGGATGTGGAAGGAATGTCTTGGGGGGACAGAAGGGAGGTTAGTTGTGGGATGAAGAGGGCTTTTCCTTGCGGGAAAGAGCGCTGCATAAATGCAAGTTGCTGTGGCTAGTTGTTGGTTGGTTGTTTTCTAAATAAATAAGAACTTACTCAGTTATTTGAATAAAATGTTGAGGGTCTATTGTCTCGATCATCTTTTAACTGACTGCTCACAGTGTCTAAAGCTGACTAAAATGCTGGATTTCCTCTCCTCTCTTAACCACTCCCTGGTCGGCCATTCAGAAAAATAATTAAAGTTGCTTAGTACAGTGCAAGTAATAATAATCCTTGCATTTGATATTAACAACTTTGCCACATCCTTGAGATGTTTCAAAGCTCTTCACAAAATTTTCACTGTGTATTTTGTGGACGAAACCCTGCAGCCAATTGTGCACAACAATGTTCCACAAACAGTTGTGGATTGAGTGACTGAATTGTTTTTGGAGGGATTATTATCCCCAGAAAGCGATCCGCCAATTGACTAAAAACTGGGTTCCTATTTACTACTAGCTAGACAGAGGCGTGTGGAGTAAGGAAACTTGCCTAACGTTTTGCCCCTGCCCGGTTCTCTCACTTGTGAGCGAGCACGCTAACCACTACGCTACAGGACTCCCAGGTGTAGTGGAGGAAAGAGCAGTGAGTTCATACTGTGCTAGCACCAGGTGCACAGTATTGAGCCTCCAGCTTATACTTGAGTTGTTGTTGGCGTGAAGCATTTTGCTCATTGTGAGCGCAAAAGCAGGAGAACCGTGGGAACCCAGATTGGAAAACTGCTTTGTTACATAGGGAAAGTGTGTTCAACAACAACAACAGCAGCAGCAGCAGCATCAAGTTGCTTTCAGATAGAGCCCTTCACGTAGGAAATCTCGGAGCGATTAACAACAGCAATACTAACTTGCATTTTTATAGCACCTTTCACGTTGGGAGGACGTCCCAAGGCACCAACAGCGACAATGATTAACAAGGCAGATCAAACACTTAATCGTTAATCACTCTTGCACTTGATATAATACCATTTCATGTGATCGGAATGTCTCAAAGCGCTTCACAGGAATATACTGTAAAGTGTGTATTTGTGGATGAATGCCACAGGCAATTTGTGCACAGCAACGTCCCACAGAACCAGCACATTGAACCTGAGCTCCAGAGTAAACCCAGGTCGAATTTCTCCCCAACAGAAACACAGTATAAGTGCAATATGTTGACAACATGAACCAACAGAAGAATTTTTTTACTCTGGGGCCGATCGATACAGTGAAGAGCCACTCGTCTGTCTTGCATACGTCTCTTGACAGATTTGCTGCCTGCTACATAATAGTATTGATCTGCTCACTTCTCCTGCCTATTGCACAGTAAATAATTCATGGCTGGCAATGGGGTTGGAAGTCCAGCTAAACATGGCACTGATGAGTTGCTCTGAATATTTTTTCCCCGTCTGGTAACCAGGAACCCGGATTGACGGCTGCCTGCTTTAACTTGTTCACTATGTTGAGGGATTGCGGGCAGAGACAGGAGCTACACTCCCTGAATTGTTTGCTGCGGTTTCTGCAGACTCTTCACCCGTCTAAACAGAACTGAACCATTCGAGCATTTTTAAACAGAAAAAAGACACAAAGCCAAACAATAACTCTGTACGTGTCCAGTCCTTAACAATAACAATCCTTGCATTTGATGTAGGGCCTCATCGGGTCGTTGAGCTGTCTCAAAGCGCTTTGCGGATATACTGTAAAGTGCAGTGACTGTTTATTTTGTGGGTGAAACGCAGCACGCAGTGAGTTGCGCGCAGCAATGTCCCACAAACAGACATGGAATTTTATTGGGGAGAATGTTGGCCAGGAGATCGGGAGAAACTGTCTTCTCTTTTTGAGGAGTGCCACAGGGTCTTTAACATCCACCTGAACATCTCATCCAATGTCTCACCCGCATCTTCCCCCCAGTCCACCTCAGCGGGGTTTATCTGTATGAAGTCCATGAAGGCTCACATAAAATGTCTCCCTTCAGTCGCTGTAAATTTCTGACATTTGACATCTCTGGCAACTGTGATTTTCTCTTTATTTCTAAAACAAAATGCAGGCACCCAGGATCCCTGGTGTGTTTATATATTTATATATATATAAGGAGGACGGTGGTAGAGTATTTCTGTAAAAGCTGGAGAAAGGGGTCTGTATGCGTGTCTCTGTGTGGGGGGGCGGGGGGGGGGGAGAAGAAAGTAACATCTATCTGTTTTGTCAGTTGTATTAAACAAACCTGAACTTGCCCTGCTATTAAAGCAGCAAAACTGCCTTCAGGCTGAGAGCAGGAACTTGTACTAAAAGCGTTTCACCCACAAAATACACAGTCAATTTATAGTATATTCTGTGAAGCGCTTTGAGACATTTCAACAACGTGATAAGGTGCTATATTAAATGCAAGGATTATTATTATAGTAATCACATCGTCTAAGCTGACACTACAATACAACGCTTGAGGTATCCTGCATTGTCGGAGGTGCCGTCCTTTATATGAGACATTAAACTGAGGTCCTGTCTGCCTGTTCAGGTGGACGTTAAAGATCCCATGGCGTTCCTCAAAAAGTGAATAGAGTTTCTCTTTCTCTCTCTCTCTCCCCTCAAATAAAATGGGACCCTTCAATCCATGGCTGTTTGTGGGGCGCTGCTGTGCGCGTCCCACAAACAGCCACGTATCATTCACAAAATACACAGTCACTCCACTTACAGTATATGCTGTGAAGCGCTTTGAGACGTCTCGACGACGTGATAAGGTGCTATATTAAATGCAAGGATTATTATTATTAGCCCAGCATTGCCCTGACTCGATTGAAGCACTAAATAAATCAAAACCCATCAAAACTTCCAAATTATTTCACTTCCAGCGATGCCCGTTGTAAAAAAAAGCTGTGTTATTGCTTATTCCTCTGTGTGTGTGCGGTGTGTGCGTGTGTGCACTGGGAGGAGTGATTTACAGAATGATTGATGTTTAATGGACCTATTGGCATGAATAAATTCACTGGGGCTTTCAAAATGTACCATCAAAGAGGGCGTGTTATATATACAGTATACGTGAAAAAAATATAGGGAAGGTAAAGTCAAGAAAGTATAAACCTCACTTAGGAGAGATCACAGCAAGTCCGACCTGCCTGGCGCCTGTCTCTGGAGCATTTCAGCAATGCACAAGGGGCTGATACAGGCAAAGCGCTGGTTTGAGAGAGGCTGGTGAGACAGAAAGAGAAGAAAGGAGAGAGAGCGAGAGAGAGAGAAAGAAAGAAAGAAAGAAAGAAAGAGAAAAAGAGAGATCCCGTGGCAGAGTGAAGGAAGGAAAACATGGCAAAGTTTTACCATTGTCTGCGCGGTGATTCAAGGTAAGCACAAACAAACCCAAGGGATCTGGAGCATTTAAGGGAACAGGGGTTGAAGCCAGGAATGAACTTGTCTGATTTCATGTGTGGGTGCTTGTGGGTGTTATTTTATTTCGCGTGTGTGTGTGCATTTGTGTGTGTTATTTTATTTCATGCGTATGTGTGCGTTATTTTATTGTATGCATGTGTGTTATTTTGTGTGTGTGTGTGTGTGTTATTTTTGTATGTGTTATTTTTGTGTGTGTTGCAAAGAGAGAGGTACAAAGGTTATCTCTGCTGCCTCATCAAAACTAGTTCAGCACAGCTCCAGAAATGAAGTCCCTGGCATTGGTTTCAACCTGTGTGTTCGTTTTATTTTTTTAAAAAAACCAAATACCTTTGCTTGAATGATTCCAAGCTTTCAGGAAAGAGAGTGGATGGAGAGAGAGACAGACAGACAGACAGAGAGAGAGAGAGCAGAAAAGGAAGGTGGGGGTAATGATTAAAGGATCATTTGCATTAACTGATATGGAAAAGCAAGTTGTTTTCCTCTCTGTCCCTCTCTCTCTCCTCTCTCTATACGAAATAGCAAGTGATTGATTGAAGGATGTCAATGACACTTTATACACCAAAATCATTGCTGTCCGAGCTATCAGACAATGTGACAACTCATGATTCATTAACACAGTGGCCAGGAGCTAACTGGATTGGGGTCACTGAACAGGGTGCAACTTATTTTCTTTGTCACACTTAAGGAAAATCCTTTCTATTTAGTCTTCACCCAGAGGCTGTGTCCTGAGCAGGTTTTGTTTTAATGTGGGAATCGCTTCTAGCCTTTTATTGTGATGGATGGACATGAAGGATGTGTTTCTCTCTCGCTCTCAATCTCTGAATGTCTCTTTGTATCTCTGTTCAGCAGTCGCTCACTGGACGCTGCTCAGTCCAGCTGATCATTCACTGCCTCGTGAAACAGGCACTGGGTTCATTGGACAAGTTAATTAAAAGGGGGAGAGGAAGAGGCGTGAGAGGGACATGCATGGGGGAAGGAGAGAGCGAGAGATGTGGAGGTGGAGAGAGAGATATGGCGGAGGGAGAGAGGTACGCGGGGGGGGAGAGAGACGTGGTGGGGAGAGAGGGACTTGGGGGAGAGAGACATGGGGGGGAAGAGATGTGGCGGAGAAGAGGGACTGAGGAGAGAGGGACTGGAGAGGGAGAGGGAGACGTGGGGGGGGAAGAGAGACGTGGGGGGAACAGAGATGTGGTGAGGGAGAGGAACAAATTGGGGGGGAGAGGGATGAAGCGGGGGAGAGAGGGAGAGGGATGAAGCGGGAAAGAGAGGGACAAGGGGGGAAGAGAGACATGGGGGAGAAGAGAGGGGGTGGGAGAGAGACGGGGGGGAGAGAGACATGGAGGGAGAGAGAGAGACATGGGTGGAGAGAGAAGCATTGGTGAGAGAGACTTATGGGAGACGAGAGAGCGGTGAAAGACATCTTAAACAAAATAGGAGCAATAAAAATTATTGGGACAATAATCTGGTACACTACCCTGTGTGAGGGGCACCAGATGAATACAATTTGTTGTTGTGACGCTTTTTGATGATGGTTTGTTACATTTGTGAAAAAAATAACCCTTCCATTTGACACAGCGCCTTATCACGTCGTTGAGACGTCTCGCAGAATCTACTGTAAAGCGAATTGAATTTTTTTAAGGGATTATTACCCCTGGAAAAGCGATCCGCCAATCGACTAACAACCGAGTTCCTACTTACTGCTCGGTAATCAGAGACGTGTGGAGTAAGGAAACTTGTCTAAGGTTTCGCTCTGCCCGGGAATCGAACCCAGGTCCTCTCGCTTTCGAGGCAAGTGCTCTAACCACAATTCTACAGGACTCCACAAAATACCCAGAGTTAATAGATATCAGCTGGCGTCCCACCTGTAACATGAATCTTTAAAAGCCGGGAAAATCTTAGTGGTTTTATTCCCAGTTTGCAGGTTGTCAGCAAGTAATCCCGCTAGGTGTCTACCTGATTCATGTTGCATTGGGGTTGTCTTTCACTGCCAAGTGACCTTAACCGTCTCAGTATGTTTCGTTGGGTGCCTCTTTGGAGCCTGGGAATCAATGTGGTGAATGATAAAGATAATAATAACAATAATAATCCTTGCATTTGATATAGTACCTTATCATGTCGTCACAAGATATACTGTAAAGTGCTTTTTCACTGTGTATTTTGTGGGCGACTACAGCAGCCAGTTTTGCACATGGTAATGTCTCACAAACAGCCATGGAGTGAGTGAACAATTTTATTTTGGTGTTAGCCAAGACACCAGGAAACTCCTTTCTAGTTTCGGATAGACGGGACCTTGGTTGAAGTCTCATCCGAAGGAAGGCACCGCCAACAATGCAGAAGCCCCCCACACTGCATTGGAGAGTCACTTTAGAGTATGTGATACCTGGAGAAAAGAATATTATTAAGCTTTTTTTAAATCTTGGCTAATAATGATATTAATAATAATAAAGAAAGATCTGCATCAATTTGTCCTTCAATGGTCCAAAAACTACAGGAGAAGGTGTCATTTTATAATGATAATAATTGTTGTATTTGGTGGTACAGCCCCATCACATCGTAGAGATATCTCGAAGCACTTCATGAGATTTACTGTAAAGTGTAGTGACTGTGTATTTTGTGGGTGAAACCAGACCGCCAGTTTGCGCACAGCAATGTCCCACAAACAGCCATGGAGTGAGTGAGCAAAGAAATTTGTCTAACAGCAACAACAACAAAATTACATTTGTATAGCGCCTTTCATGTCAGGAGAACATCCCAAGGTTTTGTCCTTCCCGGGAATCAAACTCAGGTCCTCTCGCTTGCAAGGCGAGTGCTCTAACCAATATGCTACAGGAACATCTTATCCGAAGAATAAAATAATAATTATTATAATAATAACCTTTGGATTCACTTTGGGAGGACCCTTCAAAGTACTTCGCAGGATATACTGTGAAGAGTAGTGACTGTGTGTTTTTGCTAGCAAATGCCTATTATATAATAATAATACTATAGGTTTATTATGGCAGATTACGTTTAAGCAATCGTGTGTATGGGTTCAGCGAGTAGACTCAGTTGGTCTGTGCTCTTGTTTCTCTCTGAATCTGGGCAGGCAGTCAAGTGGTCTTACATCCGCATTGTCACAAAAGAACCCAAATCCTATTCCTTTTGGGAATCGGTTCTGACTGAGTGCATTCACAAAGCACAAGCAAAACAGCGTGTTGGCAGAGTTTGGTGACCTGAGTGAGGCAGCACAGGTAGTTCCTTCACCAATTAAGTTTTGTTTACTGGAGCTCATTAACACTACACTTACTGCTGCTAAAGGAATTCAACCAGACAACATCACTCTCCCCACCCATCGCTCTGTGCCAGATCCCTCTACTTATGTTAATAATAATCCTCGTGTTTGATATTTGGCGTCTGACAGCCTGGCTCAATTAGAAGCACTCTCGTCTCCTCTCTGAGTCAGAAGGTTGTGGGTTGAAGCCCCCACGTCAGGACTTTGAGCTCACTGTCTAGGCAGATGTTCCCGTGTGCTGTCCTTCAGATGTGATGTTAAACCTGTTCAGGTGGACGTTATAAAGATCCCGTGGCACTAGTTGAAAAGAGATGGGAGTTTGGAGGGCAGAGAGGGTAGGAGAGTGACTGAGAGAACAGTCGAAGAGGAGGGTCTTGAAGGAGGCAAATGAGGGGACGAGATGAAGGGACTGTGGGATGGGGTTTCAAAGAGTAGGGGCGGAGAGGCTGAAGGCCCAACTGCTGATGGTGAGGCGGGCTGGGCGGGGAAGGTGGAGCAGATCAGGGTCCGTCGAGCGGATGGAGTGGACAGGTCGGTATGGGGTTAGCAGGTCACAGAGGTAGGGAGGAGCAAAGTGCTACATGAGCGCAAATTGTATTGTATTGTGAAAGGTGGTGTTATCCAGTGCAACTGCTCTGTCGCTTTTGGGTGTACAAGCTCGTGGCATTTCCATTGAAATTGGTTTTCATTCTCCTTTGCATGCATCAGGCCGGCTGTGCAGTGGGAGGGGAAGAGGCCAGGGAGGGACCTAGAATGTAGGTCAGTCTCCACAGCGGTGGAAAAAAGCATAGATCGAGCTAGATTAGGTTGCAATGGGACAGAAACCCAGCGCACGTAGCAGAACTACCAACAAGAAACCTGCAGCAAAAGATAAAGGAGATTCGCCCTTCGTGGCACAGTTCACGGTTCAGCTGTCACAAGCTGACTTTTATCCCTTGTAAACACATTCTCTTGAAGGACTTGGGAATCCTGAATAAGCCGATTGTGAGTGTTGCTCTTGGCTTCATTTCACATCGCTCAGTTTCATGGCAAAGTTCTTTGCTTGGTTGGGTTTTCAACAGGTAGAGAGAAAAAAATAATACAATAAACCTCACACAAGTCTTATCAGTTGGGACCATATATTTAATAGGACTTATGCAAAGTATGTGTTATGTCAAACTTCCACAGAAGATAAACTCTTGAACGAGACTTGGGCAGATGTATGACTTAGGCGCTTACAGGATTTATACAGATCAGACTTATGTGAGTTTTAATGTAATAATCCTGGAATTCAATAAGTTGTCTTTCACGTCGGGAAGACATCTCAAAGCGGCTTCCCAAGATTTAACTGTAAAGAGCGGCAACTGTGTACCTTTCAGGCCAACACAGCAGCCAATTTTACCCAGTGATCGGCAAACAGCCAATTGACTAATTGTTGGCCAGGACAGAACACCTGCATTACAAGCTGCAACGCCTGAAAGTAATTTGATTTCCGCTGATATCATTGAATTGATATTGTTCGAAATTGGTATCATTTTCATAACTGATACGCTATGATTTTGTGTTTCATGTGTCTGATATTTATGCTTGATGTTGTGTATTTAATGTTGTAAAGACGGGTGGGATCGGGTGAGAGGTTGTTTGGCTGGTAAATTATCATCCTCTGGTGATTTTACTGATAGTGGGAAATCTGATTGTATATAC